AAACATCTCCGCAGTTATGTTTTCTTTCGGCGCAGGAGATGTGCGGTAATCAAAAGTTAAAAATGTAGCTAAACATTTACAATAACATTCTACCAAATTTTCATGTACGTAGTCCACTGCAACAGCCGAACGTACGAACGAATAGGGTGACTATAGCGCATTTTATGAAAACGTCACAAGTTTTTATGGCTGTTTTAAATCAATAATTACGAAGAAACCATAAAGCCTACAAGGTTACTACCAAAGGCACAAATCTAGGGAACTGCATGGAAAATGTTTTGTAGAAGAACAAAATAAACAGAAATGGAAATTTTCAACTTAAAAACACTAAAATGTATGAAATTTCACCAATTTTTTTGGTACTTTCAACATACTTTTCAATTTTAATGTATGATAATTAACTTTAATCGAGTTCTTTTTCAAAGAGCATTGATAGCTAAGACTTTAATCTTTCATTTAGTTTGTTGAAATCAGTAAACCACATTAAGATTAAAAAAATATAGCTAACCAAAGTTGGCAATACAAAAAAACATAAAATGTTGAATAACTCACTTAGCAGTCATTTCCGACCCTATGTTTCATGGGGATTTTTTCATAACTTTAGGAGCCCTATCTACCCTGAAAATATGTAAAACCCGGAACCAAACACCCTGTATAGTAAACTATGATCCTAATCTATCAATTACTTTATAGAAACACAAATTTCAACAACTGAGTGAAAAGTTATTAACAAATGAGCAGATGGTGTGTACAACTGTGTATGCCAAGCATGCCTGGATCCCTTTGGGCATGCTATATTTAATCATAACTTGCCTTTAGTAGGCTGAATTTGATTTTGATTTTAACCTCTGTTGTCAATAAATGCAATTAACGTTCACTTTGTATAGTATGTAAGTTTTTTAGGATTGTCTCTGGAATATTTGAAACTGTACCTTGTTTAGTCGTCCAATGAGTTGAAAATCCTCAGAACTTTAATTGAAATCTATGTAAATTATCTGACTTCAACTTTCAGTCAGGCGAATGTGGATATTTAGTTCATCTTTTCTTATAGCTTGCCTCAAAAGTTATCCTTTTTAAAGTACTGATATTACCAAAATAAAGTTGAAACCGAATGTGCCGTAATTATAATGTTTGTAAAGAGATATGCATAGTGTTCTTACGGCAAACTCCAAACGAATTATCCCCATCCCCCCATGAAATTCAGATGAAACCATATACAACATTAATGGTCCGCACAAATTGATAAAAATTTAAGGTAATTCTGAGATCTCCAGTTTTAATTAAGAACGGACCGAAAGAAAATTTCAAACATCGTCTGCCCCGCTTCCGTAATTAATGCATGTCCGTTTAAATATCGTAATAATAGTGCTATCATATTTCTACTGCAAGAATATCCTCAATAAAGTACAGAACCTCTTCAGCAGTTTGTTATTTACAATAAAACATCACAACAAGAATGCTTTTTGCAACAATATCCCGTCGTCATAAAACATCACTAGCACAAGGTTTACAACCAACGCAATGAATTTGTAAACACTCGAGCAATTGTTTAACTTGGCTCACGAAACATTTTGCTAAACACTTCACATTCCGAACCCTGTTGTCCCTTCATCTATATTGTATATGTATGAAAATATGAACGCTCCGGCAGATCTTTGAATAAACACACTCTCCCGTCATTCAACTTCTACCTCACCTGCCTGTTCTGAATGCAGTATACATTCAGCTCTTCTCATGAGTAATTTAGCTTGCGGATTGCGTGCAGAACCCCGGCGACGACGTCGGCGGAAGCCGCCGCGATTGTGAACAATTTTTTTTTCTTACTGTCTCGTTTCCTTTCTGATTTACTTTCCTACACGATAAGATCCTTTTTCAGGCCATCAACCCTAGTTGGGGTTGGCTGAGCAAGATACCCATTTTCAGCAATGATCCTGAGATACAGCGTTCCAAAAATGGTTTAGAAATATTCAATGCTTCTTCTTCTTCTTCGCATTTCAAGCTTATTGCATATCGCATATTAGCTTATAGCGTGCTCTCAACTTAGTGTTCTAGATGCACTTCCACAGTTATTAATTGAGAGCTTTCGATGCCTGTACCATTTTTGCATTGGTATAATTGTGTGGCAAGTCCAATCATACTTCTATGCCCAGGGAAGTCGAGAAATTTTCCAACCCGAAAAATTCCTTGACCGAACCGGGAATTGAACGCAGGCACCTCCAGCATGGTCTTGCTTTGTAGCTGTGCCTTTACCGACTGAGCTAAGGAAGGCCAATGCATAACTGATGAAAATTTTCCTACACTGAGACAAAAGAGTGTAAGAATTCCATAAGAATCACTTATGAATTTTAACCACAAGAAATCGGTATGAATTTCATTGAGTTACCTTATGAAAAATCATGACGACAAAAAAATAAAACGGTGCACAGACTGAGACCGAACCATGTACGTTGAGACTATGGGTCCTGTGTCTGAACCACTAATCTGTCAACGCTTAGAAAAATTGAATGGGTAAAAGCGTATAAGAGCTACCTCATGGTTAGACGGAAATCTCTCGTAAGTCGCGCTTATGAAACTCATATGTGTCGTTCATAAGTCGAGCCTTACGAAATTCTTAAGTATATTTGCCTCAGTGTACCGAAATAAACCATATCTTTGTTATAAGAATTTGTAATACGGCGATGAATTACGGCTAAAAATCTCCTAAATAAGGAATAAAAAAATAATTAAAAATTGTATATACAATTAACCTTTTTACGTTTCGTTAGTTACAACTTTCAATTATTTTTTCAACGTGATGCTGCTATTTTGTTTTGATAAACTCAAAAATATCATATGATGTCGGCTGTCTGAGAATGGTGTATAAAGTAACTTTTTTAATTTATTTATAAAAAAACCAAAATTTAAGAACTAGGGTAGACAATGCTTCAATGTATTTATTGCAAACAAGATACATACAAAAATTATGTCAACATAAGGGTGGCCATCTTGCCCCATATACCCCTAGTAGTCGTCAATAAGAATAAAAAATCCTTTTTTATGAGTAACATCAGACTGCTTATCTAGTATAACATGTAGCAGCAAAATGCTTTTGGAATCCGTTAACCGTGGTTCTAGGCACAGGTCTTATGGTTCTTTTAAAACCATTGCAAAGTCTAGATCTATTATTAACCACGCCGATTACATCACTACTTCAGCCAGTATTCCAGAATCGATTACAACAGCGCCGCCTGTGTCTAGGCCATAAATTATGCCGTTAATCGCTACCAGTCATGCTCATGTCCGACCTGTTTGTAGTTCATCAGACGCTTGTCCAGACATCATTCACAATTTAGACAAAGGCAGAAGGAGATTTACAAGCCTCAATTGAGTATATTTCATGTTGATTGGTGTCAGCCGTTTTTTGCAATGACTTTTCGCAAGATATTTAATCCATCGTTGTGTTCACACCCAATTAAACCGAAGGTTGCTGATGTTGGTGATGATGGTGATGATGATATCAACCGCACTTGTCACAAGGGATCTCGAAGAGAAATGGGATGAAAGGTTAATTAAAATCTGCACTTCCCGGGGTATTCTCTTCGTTCTTCCTACAACTATGTAGTTGCATGAACAGGAGTCGTATTTCTGTTTGCGGTTTGGTTTTGTGCGGTAAATGAGTTTATTGACTTGTCATAAAAGAGTTGCGAGGAGGTGTTTAAAATGCATTACCAATCCAATATAAATTGATATGTTAGCGTGTTATGTGAGCTTGCAAGCAGTTGTTAAGCAACAATCATTACAATTTTGGTGCCTCCTAAGTAACATTCCTGGGTTTATAATGGTCTACAAGCACATTGCAATTCTTAAAAACCACGATAAATCAACAAACTTGACACATATCATAAGGTGCGATTCAAATACGACACCCCCAAGTTCTTCGCTTTTTTTTAAACCCCCAGTGTCACGCTTTTTCTCAGACCTATTACATGTACTGCTACAAATTCTTGGACCCCCTCCACCTTAAGAAGTGGATGTCATATTTTAATCGCCCCTTATCGTATTTTGGCAATTTTCACTCAGTGTGAAAATTCTCTGACATTGTGAGAATCATACACTTAATGAGATTTGTTTTTTGCTGAAATTTAGTGTCACTTAATTTAAATCATGTGAAATATTACGAAGCAAATGTTTCCAATTTCAAGAAGTTAGAGGATTTTCGTCAAACTTCTTACGATTTTTAAAGAATTTGTCTACATTTAGGCACAACTGTGTATTTTGATAAATCTGTTTTGGCATTTGTGCTTAAAATACTCGTACCAGGATTCTAACGTCTGATTTCGAATCAGTGAACCCAAATTTATAAATCACATTACTATAAATGCACAGGGAAGCTATTCGAAGCTTGATCAATTTCACTCCATATCAACATTTTCAAATTTGAATATGATAAGTAATCATTTCGTGTAGAACGATAGATAACTCTCCGGCAACTTCGGAAAACTTCAGAGAAGTGCTGGAATTTATTTTTAAAGTTCAAGAAACTTCGTAGAAGTTCAGCCAAAATTGTAGAAGCTCAGTGATCTTCGTAGAAGTTCAGGGAATTTCGTATTGATCAACTAATGGTATTGAAACCAGTGGACTTGAGAAGTTATGAACTTCTACTAAACTCGCTGAAGTTAGTTCTACAACATTATCTGAAGTTCTATTAAGTGCTACAGCAAGCTGCATTTCTAAAAAGTTTCCAGAACAATTAATGTCTACGAAGTTTTCGAAAGTTCTACGATGTGCACCATCAACACCACCAGGTAGGGGAAATTCTCACTTTCCTGATAGTGTTTTTTGTTTGCGTGGCGAGCTTTGGTTCGTGTGAAAAGGGCGTTGAGTAGATATGCTTAGTTAAAGTCGTTTAGCAAACTGCAAACATAGCCGGTGCAAATTACAAACTGAAGATATCCCCACACAGAACCCATTATCCCTTACATCCGAACCGTATGACTATATACAAAACTATTGAATTTCAGCCGGCCCAAGAACTCCCTGAGTAGCTGGGAAAGCAACATAAACTCCTCAAAGTGCGACTATACGGCCCTATATCCACGTGCCTGGTCCGAGTACGATCTCAGCGATTACGGCATCAAGCTGATACAGCGTCAGATTTCGCCCATCATACCCCATGACTACAAGGAAAGCTCTCTACCGGCAGCCGTCTTTGTGTGGACGGTGGAGAACGTCTGCGGCAAGGACCGCCAGGTAACAATTACCTTCACATTCAAGAACGGAACCGGCAACAAGAAGCAGGACGCCGACGGGAACAGTGAAACGACAGAGTTTGCCCACGGGACAGCCAAAGGCGTCAGTATTAAGCAAACCATAGCAGATATGCAGTGTACGTACTGTATCAGCTGCAAGACTTCTTCGGAGATCAACCTAACACGATGCGAGAAGTTTGATCCCACCGGAAATGGGGAAAAGCTTTGGAACGACCTGAAGGAAAACGGACAGCTGTCAGAAAAGTCAGTCGATGAAAATTTGAAAAGTATTGAGTTTGCTCTCTGGACATTATTCAACTTGATTAACATTTCGATCTTCTTTTTTTTAGCTAAGGACGTAGCAGTTGCAGTAAGTGCACAAATTTTAGTGCAATCGGAAAGTAGCTCCGACTTGGAGTTTTCTCTAGTCTGGGACATGCCAAAGATACGTTTCGGTAAGAAGATAAAAGAATACTATAAATATTATACCAAATATTTTGGAAAATCGGGCGATGCGGGTCCTTCCATATCGGATTATGCGCTACAAAACTTTGGCAAGTGGGAAACCCTGATAAATGAGTGGCAGCGGCCTATTCTGGATGATAAGTAAGAAAAGTCTAATTAGTTTGTTTTATTAATCGCAAATAAAATAAGGGATCTACTTTTTCAGTGACCTTCCAGATTGGTACAAAAGTGCCATATTCAATGAACTCTATTTTATCGCTGACGGAGGCAGCGTCTGGCTGACTACAGATGATGCTGAGCTTCCGTACGATGACCCTAGGTCAGTAATAATGTTTTTACTCAAATCTGTTTCATTTCTCACGTAAAACCTACAATTCCACAACACAGATTAGCCTACGGAAGATTCGCCTATCTGGAAGGTCACGAATATCGTATGTACAACACGTACGATGTTCATTTCTATGCTTCTCACGCACTAGCCAGCCTATGGCCGAATCTGCAAGTAAGTTGATACATTAAGTCGGAAATCAGCGCTCAGTTCTGTATGTTCTTTTTGCTAACAACTTTCAGGTTAGTCTGCAGTACGATTACAAAGACAGTATATACCGGGAAATAACCGAAGGAAGGAAGCACCTTTATGATGGGAAAATTATACCTAGGAAGATGAAGAACTCAGTACCGCACGATTTAGGTGATCCGGGTAAGTGCTTCGAGACCTTTTTTTCGTTCAATTGCTTCAACAGTTCGAGAAATTTATTCGCTGTCCTTCAGCATTACACAAAAAGTAGTTGTCCCTGAGCTTATCGTAACACGAAATATTGCGTTGCGAAAAATTTCCCTCGTCGGTTGGCCACTAAGCCATACTATAGACACTCATAGTAATAGGCCGAAAATAAATTAAAATTCTGGAGCTTGGAGAAAAAATGCATAATTCTGCGTCGTTCAAAAAATTTCAGATCTCAATCCAAGAAGAAGAACAATTAGTATCCCAGGATTTGTTCCTTTTTTTAGAGATTACAAATTTCAGAAATCCTTTCAAGATTCTAGCATTCAGATAAAGTTAAAGACCTTGGGCCTAAAGTTTTTTTAAGAACTAATTGGAAAAAAATCTAGATCTTTAATATAGGAACATTTTTGCTGCTGCTTTTCTAAAACCGGATCAATACTGATGCTGTAAGATGAAAAGTGATGAAAAGATGAAAACAACTATTAAAATGTCGTCATGTTCCCATTCGGTTATGTGACCTGTTTGGCCTAATGACCTGCTGACCTTTCATGACCACGAGAATTTTCTTTTATAAAACCAAACCCTTGCAACCACTACATTTAAACGGACATGCATTTCAGAACAATGCCTTGTTTTTTTATAACATGTCGATTACCTGAAAAAACTGGAAAATCAGGGAATTCTATTTATGAGCTTGAAACTCAGGGAATCTCAAGGAATTTTCTTTAAATTCAGGGAAATTTTATTTTCAATCCTTATTTAAAACTACAATACAAAATCAAGCTGAACATTGCATTAGGTCCTAAGTAGCATTGACAGATTCTCTTCGTCGACTTTCTCTTTGTATCCCCACGACCATGTAAAGGCATTCCAAGGTATTACAGATTGATTAGAGAAGCTTGTATCTAGCATATAATATAACAAACACAACAAGAAACCGTCATGTGTTCAAATTCTTAACGAAAGAGAAAGTCGACGAAGGGAATCGGTCAATGTTACTTAGGACCTAATGCAATGTTCAGCTTGAAATGTAATGATATCGCTCATCATGTAGGAAAGTGACACAATTAATTTATAGAAGGCTTAGACTTGAACAATTTAAATCCAGGGAAAAGTTATTGGACTAGTAGCATTTTTTTAAAGATCCAAGACATGGATCATTTCTTCAAGGTTCTGGGACGTATTTCAGTTTCATGGTTTCGTACTTAGGAAAATTTAGAAGATTGCGGTCTTAGCTTTTTATTAAAATCCAAGGTTTCAAAAACAAAATCCTAGATCATTTGAGTTTCGATGAATTCCGGACTTATAAATATGTTTAGTATTCTGAGCCAGAAAGATTTGTAAGGTTTTGTAGGTTGCGGGTAATTTGTCATTTATGGGATCTCGGACTTGGAATCAGCTTAATTAAGATCTTGGAATACAGAATACAATTCTAGGTCAAACTTTCCCATCAAGATCGTGGATGTAAAAAAAATATATCAGATATAGAAACATCTCGAACTTGGAGTAATTTTATAGATTTTCGAACTTAGAAAAAAATATAAATAAACCACTGCATGAGAGAACCAAAGATCTAGTCTAGCAGTGATAGTATCACACTTGTTACTCCTTTTTTTTAAAGCCGCGTTGTAGTACGCTTATGAAAAAGGCACTGACGTTGGGTGCGATACTGGCGGGATTTGCCGCAAATCACTCTTATTTTATTTATTTTTACGCTGATAGATTTATTTGGGTTTGCAGGGGAATTGTACTATTGAAGTATTTCAGTAAGTGCCCAACAATGATCCTTCTATTTGCGTGACAAGCTGTCTTATCGTAATTAAATTAAAATAATCGTTCCCTATAGTCTATAGCCTTCTCTGACGTTTGTGAAATGCAGAAGTATTAGTGCAGAACTCGGGGTAAATTATAAGTTTAGTGCAAGAAAACCTTTGAATTTACCCAAAGTTCTGCACTAATACTTGTGCAATTCACAAACGTCAGAGAAGTCTATACTGTTAGACATCATTGCATCATGCATTGACGTCATTATTCCCTATCTGCCGTGATCGTTACCGCTACCTTATATACTGTCTGCCATCGATCCATAGTAGTGTTGCTCGGAAGCGAGGGGAGATCGTCCGGTCCCGTGCAGTGAGCGCTTCGGAGAAAATACGCACTGGCGTAGTTAGGGTAGGGTGAAGCAACTCCCGAACACTTAGATTACCGGAGCTTCCAGGAGTTCTAAAGGATATGCTGGAATTCTAGAATCCTAGAGTTCTGACTGTATATACAGTTCCTAATGTCCCAGGGGGACAACAGTCCTTTTAGCTGTTAAAGTTTGTAAAATGTTCAGATTAGTGAAATTTCATAGTGTTTCAACGAATTTAGTGCAAGAAACTGCCTGTGTCTGTAGGATGCTATGTAACCTGACGAGGTTTTGCGCCAGTTTGTGGAAGAATATTTGTGGTTCTACTCAAGTCGAGCTTTTCGCTACCAATAAATATAATCGGAAATTGCTACAGAATTCTAAGGGTTGCTGGAGATCTGAGAGTCACTGAATGTTGTGACTCTGATAACTTGCTGGAGTTCCATAAATTGTCTCAGTTTAGTTAGTTATCGAAGTTGTTTGTCTCTCAAGAATTATATACGTTTTTAGAGTACTTCATATTCTCGGAATTTTAGGTGCTCATAGGACTTCTCAGAACTCTAGAAAAGAACTTTAGAAATAGCTGAAACTTCTGGCACATTGAAGATGAAAAACAATACCAAGTCAAATTATTACACAGCAAACAGTAACCGCAAGTCAATCCCATTAGGAAATATATATGATTTCATTAAATAAACTATAAAACAACTTCACAGCTATGTTTGTAGACTTGCTTCTATAGAACTAAAAATGTTAGACAGCATATCGCATGATGAGATCTAACTAAAAACAGATTCTGTCCACTTCTCTTAGGGTATCCGGAACATGTCCGGATGTGTCCAATAAAGTTCATACGACCCTCAATATGATCGCCAATGGTTATGGCTTGAATTATCGTGTGATTTGATGTGTTGCATGAGGGATTTTGATTTTAAAAAAATTACCATTTCCCCGGGGATACCCGAAACATGACCCGGTGTGGCCAACATGGTGCTGGTCAATCATCATGACGCTTATTTTCCAATTCGCATGTGAATTAATTTATCGCTTACTTACCTTACCTTACCAATCAGGCTAAGGCCTTGTTGTCCTTTGCTTTCCGAAGAAGTCGTCTCCACTCTAATCAATCCATGGCCACAGTTCGCCAGCCTCGTAGTCTGCGAAGGGTCCGCAGGTTACCTTCTCGTCATAGATTAACCTATCGCAGCCCGGGAAGCCGAGCGATTTGCAGTTCCATGTTCCGAGTTTCCAATCTTAGTCCTTATTTCGTCGCGTAGGTCTGTGCCGATTGTTCCGATCCGTATTTCTTTCTTCAGTATTTGCAACTTTGTTTTTTTATTCAGGGCGGCTTGTTGGGCCTGCCCCAACCCCCTGTCTCGCCGGGGAACCATCGTACACAGCTCTGTTTAGAGTACCACGCTGGCAAGCCGCTCCTAACATGGAGAACAGACGCCGTTTTGAGCCGCACCTCCATGGTGAACAGACGCTCAGGTTTGGTGAAGCATTTCCTCTATCACCGTACCGCCAGTGTGCGCGTCGCACCTCTTCACTTTGCTATTACCGGACTGGCAACATTGCCCAGGCTACGCCACCCAGCTGTGTCCATGTTTCAGCTGGTAGTCTTTTGTTATCATATGACTCGGGGAGCCGTGAAGTAGGAACTTGTGAGGACCAGGGCTAGGTATTCCGCTCCTTGATTTATCGCATGGTTGGGTTTGGCACGTTCTTGAAAATTTCTGGTTTCACAACCCATACTCACCGGAATATGTTCCGGACATAGCGGAACTATTACAAAATCGTTCAATAGTGTTCTATGGGACCATGGTATCTTTCTACTATTCAATACTGTGCTAAACTAATGCAGCATCGTCATGGCATTGTGACTGACTTGCGGTTTTTTTTCACATTGACTTTAAATGGAATCGTGTCATAAATGTCAGCCCCACTCAGATTTTTTTCATAATATTTTTTACTTCTATCACATTTTCAACATTTTTCCTCCAGAAAAATTGTAAAATCTTTGAACGCCATTTTCTCATTCCCAGTTTTTTACAGATGGGACTGACTTGCGGGTATGGGCTCCTTAATTACTGCAGTTTCAAAAATTCTCGCAGTTCGGAGTGTTACTAAAAAGTCTGATTTTTTCAAAAGTTAATCAAATTTCTAAAGCTGTCGGTGTTTTCGAAATTTCTACAGTTTAGAGAGTTCTCGGAGATCCGACAATTTTTCTATGTTTGTGTAAAACTAGAGAGGGTCTAAGAAAGAAGCGGACTGGCTGGTTTTGACCAAACGAACTGTCAAAGCCAGAGCTTATCGCGCAGCGCCTATCTTGATTGCATTGGCAGTGCTGCTAGAATCCACTTAGATATAGGTTGCCAAGGCAGTTTGTTATAAAGCCTCTCCTCTCTTATAGTACGTTCAGACTACAGAGTTGTAACATGTTATAGCGCTATCTTGATGGTGGTTTCTGTGCTGCAATTATTTGACAACCGTTAGAATATGTTATAACTCTCCAGTCTGTACAGCGTTTAAACCACTTATGTGGATAAATTTCTCCCAGTAATGGCGGACAGATTTTTGTGGGAGCTGAGAATGCAATACGTTTTCGATTTCTCAATTTTTTCATATTTTCTGTATCTCTTTTACTCCCCCAGATGAAGAACCTTTCGACCTGATCAACGCCTACCCAGTGCATGATGTCTCCGAGTGGCGGGATTTGAACACCAAATTTGTCCTTCAGGTGTACCGCGACTACTACACGTTAAACCACTATGCACAGCTGAACGCAGAAAATGCTAGCAAGTTCAGTTCGATTGAGTTTATCGATAAGGAAAGTATGTACGAAATGTATGTGCATGACAACCGTAATAAGGTATCGCCAGAGGAGAAGCAACAGAACCGAAAATCCGCATCAATGTACATTAATGAAACCAACGGCAAGGTCTACCTCATGGACGCCATGACCTATCTGAAGAGTATGTATCCAGCTTGCAAGTTAATTCTGGAGAAAACGATGGAGTGGGATAAAGATAATGATGGTATTATTGAGAACAGCAAATGTCCAGATCAGACGTACGATACTTGGGTTATGGATGGACCTAGCGCGTATTGTGGTGGGCTTTGGTTAGCCAGCCTACATTGCATGTCGGTGATGGCGAACTTACTGGATAAATCCGACGATTGTATCAAGTTCAGAGAAATTTTGGAGAAAGGAAAAGCGTCATTTGAGGAAAAGTTATGGAATGGATCGTACTATAAGTTTGATGGGCAGAGTGCCTCAAAAAATTCCATCATGTCTGACCAGCTGTGCGGTCATTGGTACTTGCGTTGTTGTGGATTCGATTATGATATCGTACCGAAGGAAAACGTTAGGACAGCACTGAAAACCATCTACGACAACAATGTGATGCGGTTTTGCGGTGGCAACATGGGAGCTGTGAATGGATACATTCCGAGCACTCAACCAAACAAGGATGGAAGGCCAGATGTATCTACAATACAGGGAGAGGAAGTATGGACCGGTGTGACCTACGCACTGGCATCGACCATGATCCACGAAGGAATGTTCACCGAGGCCTTCCAAACCGCCGGTGGAATGTACCAGACACTATCAGAAAAGATCGGTATGAACTTCGAAACTCCGGAAGCACTGTACGCTGAGCGCCATTATCGTGCTATCGGTTACATGCGTCCACTCAGTATTTGGTCTATGCAAACTGCCTGGGAACAGAAGAAACTAAATAGAAATTAAGGTGATGCTGACATTACCCAATAAGTTTCCCGTCGTGCAATAAGTGCATAAATGTTGCCTAATCGATGAATGGCGCCGTTGTGTGGTCTAAATAGTTTATTGTTGATTTGTGTTCGTTCCCTCGTTTTTTTTTTTTTACAATATCTGACAATTCAGGTGAATATTGTCATTTGATATGAAAACTGGAAAAACCCACTAGCGATTTTTGTCTTTTGGCTGTTCTTCCCATTTTTTCAGAACAAATTGATGAGTTCATCCAGTATTATGAAAATACGGGTAATTAGGTACCATTTGCATTGAAAAACTCTGTTTTGACTAAAACGACTATGGGATCGACATGCGAAGAGCGGCAGTATACCTTATACATAATGTAATAATCATTGTGCGAATACAACTCACTTCTTACGACATGATGTATAACGTATAAAACCAAGAGTAAAATCGATTTTCGGATGTGGATTTTTCCAGTTTTCAGCTGTAACGCCAATATTTGGTACTTAAGTCATAAGTATTCCAATTTGCAAACAATACAATCAGTAGGAAATATTTGAGCAACGTTCGAAAAAAATCTTGGAAGACCGACCTAAAGGGACCTATTAGCAGGACAGGAAATGTAGCAGTAGCTGGGTTTTTGTTCGAAAATACGTAACAGTATTTAATCATAACCATCCTACAACAATGAGAAGCACAACATGGGTTTCAAAGTCAATTTATGAGCTTAGTAAATGCCCCGTAAAATGAAAAATGTTTATGAAATGTAGTTTCCAAATCATTTTTTGTTTGATCGAATTTAAGTGAGTTCACTCAAAGATTATTAACTAAGCATTTCTGGAAGTTTTAAGATTCGTTACACACAACATGAGTTTTACTAGACCTATTTCCGGAGGATCGAGAGATGTTGATGAGAGGACTCATCTATTGCGTATGCAACCTTATGTTATAAGAGGCGGTCTGACCACTATCTCTTGATCCGTTGACGTTATTTATTTATCATAAACAGGGTTCTGATGAATATGAGTTTGATGGATAAATACCATCACCCGCACCATACTGCAACACTACTTCCCGTGAATCTATCTAACGTTTCAAAAATATGTTGTTAAAATCGAGATGCGATCGAAAATATAGTAGTACACAATCATTAGAAACTGCACAAAGTATGGTGTCGGCACGGTACTTGTATAAAGAAAGAGAGAAGGATTACATGACAGATACGCGTATTTCGTCTGCAATAAAGATCTTTTTTTATAGTAACGTTTAGGAAAGCTTCAAGAAGCCTGGCCTGTAGTGTAGTTGGCACGGTGTGGTATCAACTAGTTGCCTAATGCAGCTCCACTAAAACCCATTCCTTACTCTCTCCTCTGCCTGGATCCCCCCCCCCCCCCCCGGGACCACGGTGGAGCGACTACTTCGGGAGGTGGCTGTGCTTATGCACTTCTCATACTCTCAGCGCTAGCTGGCGTTGCTAGATCACTGATCTTCTCTCCATTTACGCTGCAGCCCCGACATAATCTGCGTGACTGTCCTGCTGACGGCATTCCAAGTGCCCTCCTCTCGTGATATTTCAACGACGACATTCTCCCGTTAAGGACGGGCATCTTCGCACTGCCTCGAACCTTGGACAGTCGAAGATCACATGCTCCGGCGTTTCATCTACGTTGCCACACTCCGGACAGAGAGGTGACGCTGCGTGTCCGAACTGATGCAGGTTTTTCCTGAAGCAGCCGTGGCCAAACAGAAACTGCGTTAGGTGGAAGTTGACTTCTCCGTGTTTTTTTCACCCAGGTCGAAAGAATCGGTAATACCAACAATCAATACGAAACTAACGATTTTAAATTGGCTCACTACTTGACTAGCCTATTGGTCCCAAGCAAACGATTAACCTACCCCATTCTAGTCAAAATTCTAGTACTACACAATGTTTGTTTTGATTCGCTATGAAAGTTTGACAGATAAAATGAGGGGTTCGTGGATTTTCCTATGTTTCGAGGGGTGCACTGATTAGCTTGGGACCGAAGATAGTACCAGAGCTGAGCCAAAAAGTTAAGCTCGTTTCTTCGGAATCTTCTGGTCTTAGAGTTACCTCTATGATAATACTCTATGTGTCCATCTACCGTTCTCCCTCCCGTGTTCCACTCCTGTTGCCACTTAACCAGCGACTCCACTCTCACAACTTTACGTACTCTTCCGACTTCTCTCCGCCTGTAACACTCGCTGTCCTCCGCCAGGGTGATGCCGATAGGGATCATTCCGGCGATAATGCATACTGATTCCGACGAGATGGTTCTGTACGCACTCACATGGCCATGAGCCGGAACGTACTGCTCAGTTTCCTTTGTTTCTGCTTCGTTTTCAGCGCTGCAACCCAGGCTGGCCCTCCATACCTCAGTATCGACGACGACATACTGGTCAGAAGACTTGCAACTGCTGGGACCAGCGTTGTTCGGTATGATTGTAGCTATCGCGTTGATGGCCTTCGAAGCCATCTCACAGGCATATTCGACGTGGCTGTTGAAGTTTAGCCGGTCATCCATCATCACTCCCAGGTATTTCAGCACACGCTTCGAGGTTATGGCGTGCTCCCCGACGGTGATTTTTGCCCACTGCACAGTGGTTTAAAAGTCCATTTTGACGCTCTTAATTAATAGCACCGTGGAGAGTGGACTTCGAGTAATGACACCTTGAGCAAAGTTGATGGGTATGACATGTTGCATCTTTGAAAGAAATGAATTTTGTGATTAATCCCCCTAGAACATAGTGAAGACCTAAAATAAAAGAAAATATGTTTTGGTAAAAAATGGGGTCCGTCCTCAAACAACCCTCTCTATCTGTTTGGTCAGCTTCGCTCCTTGCATCCAGTTACCAATCATGTCGATCGCTTCGGTCGCCAACACTTCCACCTCTATCAGCGTCTCGCCTGTTACTGTCAAGACGACGCCCAAGTAACCAAAAGTTCTGATAAAAGGCCATTTGTGGCTTAAGCAGATTAGTTAGTGATGGTCTTTAGAATTCTAAGCAGCCTCATTTTTAAGTCGTTATAAGAACTTGAAAGTTCCGGTATCATAATTGAAGAGAATTCTAAGCAGCTTCTGGCGGAACTTGAACGGAACTTTTAGAAAATAAATTAAAAAAGGTGTTTGCCCTCTACACCAATTCTATGTTTAGTTCGCACTTTTATGAAAGTTATTTCTAAAGGCAGGTATTTATGTGTATGGATTGATCAGCATTAGTAGTTTTGGAGTGTTTGAAGAATTAAACCCAGTCCTTCTGCGTGAGAGCCCCAGCACGAACCGCTGCGTCATCTGAAATATATTAAAGCGAGCTGTTGTCCCGCCTACTGTTGGAGTTTTCAGTGCCAGCTGACTGACTTGCATACGAAACACAATACCTTGATGAATTTGAAATTGGTATTTGCCCGCATGGTATTCCAACACATTTGTGGCGCAGTGGTTAGCGTTAGTAGATCGCATGCCGAATACTCGGGTTCGAATCCAGGAAATTACTTTTTAATTTTTTTATGTTTTAACAGAATGTTGATGCACTGCATAATTATAAGAATTATGATTTATTCGGGCCACTGATGATTTAATATTTACGTACATTAAATTTTGTTACTAATAAAGACTTGTGCGGATTGCTTCATGTGGCTTGAAAGTTCTGTCGGAACTTTATTTGAACTTTATGGAACTTGAAAGTTCTGACGGAACATTATTTGAACTTTATGGAACTTGAAAGTTCTGTCGGAACTTTATTTGAACTTTATGGAACTTGAAAGTCCTGTCGAAACTTTATTTGAACTTTATGGAACTGAAAGGTTTGGTTGGAACTTTATTTGAACTTTATGAAACTTGAAAGTACTGTCGGAACTTTATTTGAACTTTATGGAACTTCTGTCGGAACTTTATTTGAACTTTATGGAACTTGAAAGTTCTGTTGGAACTAAATGTGAACTTTATGGAACTTGAAAGTTCGGTCGGAACTTTATTTGAACTTTATGGAACTTGATGGTTCGGTTGGAACTTTATTTGAACTTTATGGAACTTGAAAGTTCTGTCGGAACTTTATTTGAACTTTATGGAACTTGAAGGTTCGGTCGGAACTTTATTTGAACTTTACGGAACTTGAAAGTGATTTTAATCGTTGAATGCGGAACTTTTGGTTACTTGGGCGTGGTCCACAAAGCCAAAGATCTCAACTCCTTTGGGTAGCTTCAGCGTTAGCACGCCGTTGAACATCCCGTTCCAAAGCGTTGGACCAAGGATGGAGCATTGTGGAACTCCCGCTGTGATCCTAACCGATCTCTGTCCCATGTCTGTCTCGTAGACCAGAACCCGATTATGGAAATAACTCCTCAGGATACAGCACAGGTAATCAGGGACCCTCATTCAATGCATCGCTTCGGCGATGGCCTCCCAGCTGGCGCTGTTGAACGCATTCTGGACGTCGATCGTTATCACGGTTCAATATCGATCTCCTCTCCGCTTCTGTTTGGACGCCTTCTCGGCTCTCTCGACCACTGTCCGAATTGCATCCACCGTCGATCTCCCTTTCCGGAATCCGAACTGGCTCTCCGACAATCCGTGCTCACTCTCCGTGCATTTCGTCAGCCTGCTTAAGATGATCCTCTCCAAGAGTTTTTCGAGTGTATCCAGCAGGCATATACGATGCTGGATCCCCCGGTGGTTTTCCTGGTTTCGGCAGCAACACTAGCTTCTGTATCTTCCACCAGTCAGCGAAGTGACCCTCGTCCAGGCATTTCTGCAGCACCATCCTGAACGTGTGCGGGTACGCCTGGATACGGGACTCGATACGGTTCTGCAATGATTGCAACGTCGCACTTTGTTTCTGTTTGACTGCCACAACAGTTGCTGAGCAGTGTCGCAATAACTGAGTTTATTTGGGTTACCTCCATTACTGTTGGCCTGCCATCGTCTTTTTGTATGCTAGGCATTTGAAGTCTCCCGTCGATGAACGTTTCAGTCCTCTTTTTTGCAGAGCATACACCTCGGTTGGTTCGTGCAACCTCTTGCAATATGACCTTTCTCCCCGCATTTCCAGCTCAGATCAGATCTGTCAGGGCCATTGCAGTACCTCGTCTGGTTACCGAAACCCATGCACTTGAAGCATCGCTCCAGTTGCTTGATAACCCGAGGAGTGGCTTCCAGAGAGCACACTGACCACCCAACCTTGATCTTGCCCGTTTCAAACAGCTTATTTGTATTCGATAAGCTAACGATTCTCTTCGGTAGGTTTTTGAAATAAAGAGCCACTAAATACAACCCCCCAACTATGAGGGATGCTGCACATAGTCCCGCTCCAACGCTCCAAGATACTCCAGCAGGGTAACATAATCATTCAATCCTTCAATCTCCACACCTTTATCACCTAAAGTCCCAGATATCTTGCCTGATAGGGTAGATCCTTTATCAACTTCACTAGGGAGTCCCTCCGGAATCTCCCTTTGAACACAAATTCCAGGCAATAGACGTGGTACGAATGGTCGATATATAGAGGCGTTTCAACCACATTTACTGTTTCCTTTTGCTCAGATGTTGTACCTTTTGATTGCTGGATCTCCATGGGATAGAACAGGTCCAGTCTGCGCTCTCTGTGGCGATGAATTTCTTGGCACTTTCTCAACCAGCAATTGTCAATTTTCACATGAGTTCCAGGGACAGCGCCAATAACCATTTCGATTCTTGGCCCAGGGGAAATCCGTCTGCATCTGATACCCAGGGATGTGGTTTGCTCTGGATATTTTCCCACCCCAGGTAGGAGGCATAAATATGCTCATATCTCGTGAGTCAGGCAACCAATCAGCTGTGTATTGGGCTGGCCATATACACTTCCGAGACTGCATCGTGGACAACTCCATTTTCTGGTATCGTAACTCGTTCTTGTCCTCCTTACTCGACATCCAAAACATCCCGTCAGTAAACACAGTGTGGTCATTATTGACACCAAGGCCAGACAAGTATGTGAGACACTCGCGGGAAATGGATTTCGATAAGTGGCCAACTGAACATTAGAGCCGTACAGTGTTCTACGAAAGCCAACAAAATCATATTGGAAGGTAATTGCCTTCCCACACGTTTGTTTGACAAGTTTTGAAGCTGTTAGAACTCTTAGAACATAATGCTCTGAAGTCAAGATCTCGCCCCCTGAAAATAGACCTGGCAACACTCATAGAGTGCTTTTGGGTATTCCTCCATACATTCATCTCCATGCTTTCGGTTCCAACGGTGACCATTTGTCTCCTTTTTGGGAGTTCACTGAAAGTACGTTCGAATGAAACCTCAGACCATTCAAATCGAAACATCGATATAACTTTTTCGAATGATAGTTGCAACCGGATGAGAGTTGTATAGTAATCAGATGATGCTCCACTCTAATACAGGATGAACGAGAAGTGAACGGACCTCTGTTGGAATGCGCAATGCTTTCGGTAGCCCTAAGTATAAGTGCAAGAACGGTCGTATGTACATGGCTTACTGCACTTATACTTATATTAATACTTGGGCATTCCGAGAAGTTTATATGATGACTTCTTCAGTGTCTTGTACTAATACGAACATTATAGTAGGAGTAAACGAAAGAGTCTGTACATTGTAGATGAAAAATGCGTATTTGTCAATGATAAGCGATTAAGGTAGTGGAATTAATCGGAAATTACTAATCATTATTTCTTTCTTTATATTCAAATTAAGCTGTAAAATTTTGGCACACACATTGAAATGCTGCTTAGACACAAAACATTTATTCAAAACGAGCTTACACACAGAACACAATGCCACAAAAAAACATTAGTTCAAATGATTACGTACAATTTCAAAATGCATCTTATACCCCGTTCACATTACAGCTTATATCACGTGATATAGGCTGTCTTGCAATGAGCACTCATACATAGGATTTCCAGTGAAAACTAGATGTATGAGTGCTCATTGCAAGACAGCGTATATCATGTGATATACGCTGTAATGTGAACGGGGTATTAGGATTTAGGTGCCAATAAGACCCAACCAGTGAATCAGCAAATTCTTTGATCTACCTATACCGATGCTAATCAATTAGAACGTTTGGTGCTTAAACAAAAATAAATTTTCTCTATTTATTAGGAAACAACACAGTTGTCATACATAAGTTATAGTTATTAGTTTTAGCAGACATTTAGCTTTTCCAAATCGTTGACATTTGGCTTAGTTAATGTGCTTAATGAGAATCTAATTCTTCTACTTTCAAAGACTAACGCTTTTAGCACTAATACTTTAGCATTAAAAGGTAATATATTCAAGTGTATTGCTTTGAAATAATTCAACACGAACAATACAAAAGGACCAATGTAACATTGATCGATTCTATTCATCGACTTTCTCTAACGTTAGTAACTGTGTTAACTCATTGCCTGTCGTACTTATTTGGCATAATGGATGCTACTTAGATAATAGGTTCTGTGTGTTGAAAACAGCCAGATTTATTTTAACATTACTTCCAGCAAGAGCCAAGAGAATATCTATGAATGTTACATTAGGGGTATTCACTATGCGCATTGTAAACCTATACCTACACTATCGTAAAAATACCAAGGTCCATCGGAGTATAATGGAAGTTTACGCATTTACGAGAGTGTATACGTTTATGATGCGCTTTGTGAATACCCCTTTTGAGTTTTTATGTTGTTTGTGATAGTATTGAATTACTCAAGCACATTATACTATTTCAGGCATAACATTTGAGAACGGCACAAAAGCATTTGTAAACCAACTTTTTAAGGCCCTTTACACGCGAACCAAAGTACGCTCACGCAAACAAACAACATCATCGGATAGGGGCAACTATCACCTTTTCGAATGTGGTATTGGTTTGCGTGAGCCTACTTTGGTTCGCTTGTAAAGGGTCTTAGAAAGTTTGTTTACAAATGCGTTTGTGCCGTTATCAAATGTTATGCCTGATTTCTCATCGATTGAGGCTGGAATGTGACGTTATGTCATGTGCAGAATTCCTTTTGAGTCATGCGTCTATAAAATGTATTTAATAGGGTAAGATACGGCAAGATGGGTCAGCTAGTACATTTATTATTTTATTTGTTTGTCAATATCAACAGGATCAATGCAACTCCAATGAATTGGGACTATATTATTAGCCTGTTCATGTTGACAAAAATTTGAATAAATCAAGTAGATGATCTTGCCCGGAGCCCATTT